AAAAAAAAAAAAAAAAAAACTTCTTATGCCCACGTGATCCTCTCACCTCAGCCTCCCAAAGTGCTGGGGGTTACAGGGGCGAGCCACCTCACCCAGCCTCCTCCTCCCTGATAATGGTCATTCTGGTGCTTATAAAATAATAGCTTATTGTGGTTTTTATTTGCATCTCCCTAATAACTAACGATATTGAGCATCTTTTCGTGAGCTTTTTGGCAGTTCACATACCTTCTTTGGAGAAATGTCAATTAAAGTCCTTTCTTCATTTTAATTTAATTAATTTTTCATAGAGATGGGGTCTTACTATGTTGTTCAAGCTAATCTGGAACTCGTAAGCTCAAGCGATCCACCCTCCTGGACCTTCCAAAGTTCTGGGATTACAGGCATGAGCTACTGCGCTGGACCTGGAATTGATTATTTTTTTCAGGTTTGAAATTTTGGGGGTCCCTTGAGAACAGTTTGTGGGCCCTGCGCCCTCAGCCTTGTAGGTAAAATGGCCCTAAGGAAGAGTATGGGGTGACCCTTCACTTCCAGGTAGCCTCCTTTGCTGTGTGACTTTGGGCACATCCCTTAACCTCTCTGGGCCTCTTCATCTGTAGGAGGAACCTGTTCCTTCTTTCAATTCATTCATTCATTCATTCATACATCAGACCTCAGTCCAACACTCACTCTTTCATCACCACCAGTATTAGGGTGAGTTTTCCACATTTTTCAGGTAAGGAAAAGTCCCAAGTTGACGGGCTCAGCAATTCATTAGGATCAGGGCTCCAGTTTTGCTCTGGGTCCTGGGAATACAGAGATGTATGATACTTTCATTTATTCATTCAACAAACACCAGTGGAGATCCCGTCTATGTGCTGGGCTCTGAGGACCAAGGGGTGACCAAGACAGGCCCAGCTCTCCCTTCTGGTGCTCACAGCCTGGTGAGGGAGGTGGAAACACACATGAAACCCCACCATAAGGGGGTTTCATGGCCAAAATTCATTACAGTGCTGTCTTAGGTTTTGCCATTATTTGTTGGGGGTTGGGGGAGCACAGATACCAAGGTCTGGTCCTGCTGTTTGTATGTGAGATGACTCTCTAGTTTGGGGTTGTCTGGCTCCAACTTGGAAAGTTAACCCTGCAAGCAGGCTCCAAGGTGAGCTATCTACCTTGGCCTTTTGCTAAGTGCCCTTCTCATTCCGGCTTAGACAGGCAGGGAGTGGGGAGGCAGAGAGGGAAGGAGAAGGCTCCAAGCCTTCCAGCATACAGTCCAAGTCACACAGCCCGACAGGGACAGAGAGTGGACTCCCTCAACCTCACCGCCCAGATAGGGACAGCTGGTTACTGCATGTTGGCTGGAATAATAGTAACTAATAGTAACAATGTTGACAGGTTGTATGTCCTGTGATTTGTTGGAAAAGGGCAACCTGGTATGAGACGGTATGAGATAC